GAAAGATATGCACAGGAACGGGGATATGAATGGATGCGGGATGCACGACCACCAACAGTCTACGGGTTACAGAAGTTACACAAAGAAGGAGAACTACTAAGGCTGAAAGTTAACAACAAGTTTGGAGAAGCACACAAATTAGCCAAGTTCATTTGTCTATAACTCAACAAGGTAAACGGCAGATTATCAAACACAGTGAAGCGCTCGTATGCATTTTCTCAGAGAATCAAAAAGCTAGCACTGGAAGAAAAAAATTAACGGAAATTTTTGATGAACAATGTATGTACAGAAACATTTCTGGAGAAAAGGCGCTGACGGCCCTGTTATACATTTGGGATAGAGAAGAGGATATCCTAGAAGCAGAGAATATCAGAAGGGAATCGTCAACACGATTAAGCAACTTGACATTAAGTACTACCTACTTCACATGCAATGGTAACTTCTATGAACAGATATTTGGACTACCTTTGGGATCACCTCCCATCTTTATTGGCTACTGTAGCTATGGACAAATTAGAAGATAATTTTAAGGTGTCACCGCTGCAACCAAGAGTTCTTAAGCAGCACCTGGATGACTACTTTGCAATATTGTCATATGAAAGAAAAAGGTTGGAGGATTTCCTGAGGCATGATAGGAGGATATAAGACATGTGAATAGGCCAGGGCAGAAGGCGAGATATCATAAGTGTTAATTACACGTTTAGTCAAAGGATGGGCTTCACTTGTTTTTTTGACGAGCTGTAATATGGTGCAACAAATGGCGAGACTCACTGACGATGCCGACTACGATGCCGGCGAAACGTCTGGGAATGTACCACGTCCACGGTCATACTCTTGAAATGATGATGCATACAATGGACATAGGACTAGGTGCGTTCCTCTAAGTCTTCCTACCAACATGACCAAGTTGCGCAAACAAGGTCACACAACTTCGATCCTTATTTATGTTCACCACTCAATTTAGATAATTAAGTCAATATTTCAAACATACACTTTAACCACTGACCCCACTACTTCCTCAGGCCTTGCCTCCTCATCTCGAGATGTCTGTCTCGGCCAACAAACCAGCAAACTTGCAATCGCGGCTGCGGCTCGTCAACGTGGTCAGTCGCCCGGATGGATCCGTCTGGTTGTCCATTGGACACCCGGGTTAATTTGTCAAGATCAAAATGAACCATCCACCTTGGACCCTGGCCTTATCGAACATTTGTCTTCTTTGGGTGTCGTCTTGGTGACAAACTTTAGGCCATTTTCTCTTGAGCTTCCTAACCTCTCGCTTGCTACACGAAAAGCAGCTCAGATAGACTTAAGGCCTTACCTCATTCCACACCAGATTCGATGTCGACTCTTTCAACGTGCTCTTTTGTCTAGTGTTGGCCAGAGTGAACCTCTCAAGACTCGGCAGTCCGTTTGCGAGGAGTTACGAGCACTACTAGCACAAAGGCTTGAAGATTACAGCATGGAAGAAAGGGAGCCAGGGACCAGAGAAAACGCTAATTATTTAGACCAAGTTGAGAGAGAATGTAGCTCGGTTCTAAATATCATTCTGGATCAAGCCATCACTTGGCCGCTGTCTTCAGAGTCTGGCATAGGATCCTCTCCTACGAATGACGAGTAAGTAAACTCGTCTAACCATTCAAATACGTCATTAGGTTGGGCATTTTTCTGAACTTATATTTATGAGAATAAGATCCTGAGTTACTTCAGGCAGTTTAAAAGTCAATGTAAATAATGATGTCTGAATATCCCACAATAAAATGAAGAGGCCTTGCTTCTAGGCTACATTACATTCTTAGAATGATTAGACTCATACATAGATGCAGTTAATCTATTTAGCATTAATGTAATCATGCCATTGACGTATATACGAAATTATTTGTCTCCAGCAACTTGCTTCATTCTAAAGCAAAACAATTCAAAGCAATTGACTTCATATTTATAAAAAGTATGAAGACCAAGATGATGTGGCGGTCTCCTCTTGTTGTATGATAGCTAGTTGACCTTGTTTTCTCAACTTGGTGATAGAGGAACGCATCCTATCCGGAATCCATAGTAGGCATGATAATTTCCAGTAGGACCGTGGACTTGCTACATTCTCAGACGTTTCGCCGGCATCGGCAGAGCTTTGTCCTTTTTAGCCCCACACCGCAACTCGTCAAAGAAACAAGTAAAGTCGATCCTTTTACCAATTATCTGTTAAACAGTTGTGTTATCTCTCCCATTCTTGGTATGTAATTATGACAACCGCAGCATCCTCCCCCACAGCCCTGATATTATTGATCCTGCAATTTTGACGCATGTAATGCATGAAATACTCTTGGATTACATGAGATGTGAGGGTCAAAACCAGATTCTAGGCTAATCAAGCTTCCGCTTTCTTGACGGTAATTCTCGCTCCATCTCTCTCTCTCTCTCTTTAATCCTACCCAATATTTATACTTAGTTTCTCCTTAATTTTCTATTACCATTCCCTCTATTCAGGGTGTAGGCTGTTTTGCTGATTTCTACTAACTCTCTCATTTTTCGCTTACCACCGACCGACCAATGCGAGGTCGAAACTGCAGTCCACTTGTGCCTGGATGAGAACAACTTTTGGGAAAGCGAGGCTATGTAAAAGTGAATGGAAACGTCAGCTCTACTCATATAATTGTGGGAAAATTCTACTACCAGTCCATCACCTTAAACGAAATAGGGTGAATACATCTCATATTACTGATTTTCTGGTAGTCTCGACACCACTCAAACACGAAAAGTAATATCCTTAATTTTAGGGGGGGAAAATCGCAGGGGGATGAGAAAGGAACAATCAGAAACAAAGAGACGTCTTCAGTGAGCCTAATCAAAACAAGTAGAACCATGACAATTGTGGGTTGGCGCACAAGAGACTACGACGTAGGAAATGATAGACATGGTATTACAGATAGAAATAGGAAAGACGCGGTTGAGACTAAGGCTATTTGGCTAACAATAGACGTTCTTGATCATAGAAGTGATCCTTGAATCACGACTATTCTTAGCCAACGAGCTCTAGCTTCCTATGTTTCTATCCTCTTTCTATTTATAATATCAAGTTTATGACTTCCTATGCCTTAGTCTCTTGTGTGCCAAACCGACAAACGTTGTGGTTCAACATTGAACCTAATCAAGGCAAGCAGTACCACAACATTTGTGGGTTGGCATGCAAGAGACTAGGCATAGCAAGTCAAAGACTTTGTATTGGGGATAGAGACAGGATAGACGCGGCGGCGATTGGAGCTATTTGGCGCTGACAGTAGGTCCATGTAGCGAAGGCATGTCCATGAGACTTATTCAGAGGCTTTAGCCTTGAATTAGTCGCCCAGACGCATGGAAGGGCGAATAACGGCTCGAGATGGAGCGGGGGCAGGAGTCGAGTGAAATACGTGTACCAGGGAGATAGCAGACGGATTCTACGGGGCAAGAAGTAGACTCTGATAGGACACAGGGTAGGACTACATAGCAATATGACAGACTGGTCAACATTTCCAGCACAAGGATGAAGGGAGTGAGAACGACAGTGTGGAGCGTGAAAGGTTTTCATGAATGCCGTTCGAAGAAGCACACCACACTACATTAAAAATAAGCACGGTTAAAATTGTGACAGGGGAGGTGTGATAGAAGGATATAGAAAACGCGAATAACCTAGGGCATAAGGGGAGACACCACAATTGTTTAGCACACGTTTGGTCAAAGGATGGGCTTCACTTGTCTCTGACGCGTTGTAATATGGTGCAACGGATGGCAAAACTCACTGTCGAGGTCGGCGAAGCGTCTGTGAATGTACCACGTCATACTATGGAAATGGTTATGCAGACAATGGACTCCGGACAAGGTGCGTTCCTCTAAGTCTTCCTACGAATATGGCCAAGTCGCGAAAACAAGATAAAACAATGAGATGTATTCACCCTATTTCGTGTAAGGGGATGAAGGACTGGTAGTAGAATTTTCCCACAATGATATGAGTTGAGCTGACGTTTTAATTGAATTTCACAT